ATATTGTAGGACATGGGCTTCGGGGTCCTGGCCAACCCCTGTGCTGAGCTCTAATCCAAGATATATGAAGGGTGAGGCAAGGGGAATGAGCCAGAAGGCACAGGTGTTGACACATGATGGTGATGAGAACTGCAGACCACTCCAAGTCAGACAGAGGGAGAGGCACAATGTGTATTGGCAGATAGTCCAGCCTTATCAACAGGTGAAGTGCATGCCAAATATTTCCACCAGCCTCCCTTATGTAAGCCGGGTGACTTCCTATCAGCATCAGGAGCAAGACCTCAGAGAGCTGGGAGCAGTGCTTACACAGCAGCTCTTGAAGGCATTCAAGTGTGTCTGGATCACAGTCCCTCCAGGTCATTAACATGTAGCTGCTTTGTCCTGGGGTATTCTGGGTGTCTTCCCCATGGGCTGCTCCAAAGCAGGGGGAAAGCCTCTGCTCTTGGATGAAACATCTCCTTTTAGAGACTAGTCTGAGCCAGAGGAGAGCTCAAACTTTGGCTCACAGCCCCAGGTGAAAAGTATATTTGTTAAGACCATGTGTGTGCATAGGGAGGAAAACAAGCATGAGTATACAGGCTGAGATACACCATACGGGAGGGGCATGGGAAATGCAAAGATGATTGTACCTTCTGAAAGTGTGGACTGACTGCACATAGCTGATGGGATCATGGCACAGGGTAGATAAATATCTCAAGGGCTAATAAAAAGGGAGTCAGTGGAATGAATGTGGAACAGCAGAATGGATGACGGTGGTGGCATGTGTAGGGTGAGAAAACAGCTGCATACAGACCAGGAATGCTGATGTTTACTTTGCAAGGTCCCTACATATGAGAGACTTGGTGAGGGGCAAAGACTGAGATGGAGAGGATGGAGAGGAGTCAGTCATAATGACTTTGGTGCCAGTGGAGGTGGCACCTTGGTCCAAGTATCTGCAAGACAGGCCTCACAGCTCTGAGTGGCAGATCAAGGGAGACAAAGAGTCTCATTACCACCTTTTTGCTGAACAGTAACACCAAAATGAGCCACTGAGGCAAAGCCCAGAGCCATGCCTGAGACCTGAGCCCACTGGTTTCTCCAGCACGTGCACAGATACATAGAAGCCAGCCCAGATAGGTGACAAGATCTTGAGGCACTGCTTTTTCCGTGCCAAGTGGTGTTGCCAAGCCATTCCTGTGGATGCACGCATCCCTTGCTGAGCTCAAAACATCTTACACAGAGGACAACAGCTTCACCTGCAGCTTCTGACCAAAAAGCCTGGCCCTCCCTTTGCACACCCTGCAGACCACCAGTGAGGAGCTGTGGGGCCCACCTGCAGCCAAGCAGACAAGCCTGCAGGAAGCGCTGGACTTTTTTAATCTCAGTAACATAAAAAATCCTGCCCCTGATTGAGGTGGGGGAGAAGCATTTTGGACCCCATGCTACCCTACAAGGTACTGGGTCGCCAACAGGACTGCTGGCCCTGTGTGAGGCGGGGAGCTGGGGCTCAGGAATTTGTGATACAGCATTTCTCTTCCCTGTTGACTGTACAGGAGCGTGGTGAAGCCAGGCTTGGCACTACCGTCCCCATCAGCAATTCTGCTAAGAGGAATTTGAGTTTTTATGGCCACTGATAAGATTAAACTCTTTGTTGCAGCTGGCCAGGCAGACGGCTTCGGGCTGCACAAAGCCACTGCTGCAGGGGCAGAGTTAAGGCAGTTTGGTTGCTCTCCTTGGGAATTCCCACACTTGCAAATGTTTGGATTTTGCACTGACTGCAGCCTTAACTCCACGCTTGCTGGTGTGTGAAAGGCCTAGACCTAAGGATGCAAGGGGCACACAGCCCTTCAAAGTGGGCTCCTCTTTGCTGAGCAAAAGACACCTCTGAACCATCACCTGTCTGGTGGTACTCCCCTGGGTACAGCTCCTTCTTCAAGGAATCTTTGTTCCCCATAACCCACCCCTATATTGGAAACTTTGTCTGACGAAGTTGATATTTTCAAATGACCTGTGAGCACTGGGTATCATGTGTGTCCAAAAAACTACTTGTTCTTCTATCCTAAGCCTTAGTTTTTCCATCTCTCTGATTTTGCTGTGAACTGTAACTGTTAATGTAGTAATAAGATGCTCGCAGATGCCCCCTGACAGGCAGAGCACTGATTTACTTCCATTTGATAGGAAATACCTACCTTGCCCTCACAGTCTGTGAAGCCCATGCTTTTTTTGCTTGAAAATTTAGGAGAAAAAGATACTGTAAATTTAGACTGTGAGTTATCCTTTTCTGAGTCATGCCTTGGATGAAGATTGTGGTTGGGTCAAAGTGGGACAGATGGAAAGGAGAAGTGCTGTGTCAAGCTCCTACACCTTGCTGAGAACTCAGCCCTGGGTGCTCAAGAACCAAGTAAAGCTGGCTGAAGTCCCTCGTGCCCTTTCAGCCTGTGCCAAGGAGGTAAGGTATCCAGAGACCAGTGGGCAGCATTGCTTCCATTTTAAGACAGTTATTCATACCAAGCCCAGCCTGTGGCTGCTCTCTGAGATGCTGGCCTGCCAGCAAGTCATCAGTAAGGTATGTCCGCTTGCACTGCAGCAATCCCTGTTCCTGCCTTCCTGTGTCTTTGGTGACACTTTAGAGAAGCTGCAGGTGAGCTGATAACTTCAGTGTTGTGACCTTCCTGGAGACCACTTCAGAGAGTCAGCAGCAGCAGGTGCATTGGATGAAGGGGATAAAAGAAATGTAATATTAGCAGAGCAAGATGCAAGAAGAGGGGCTGCCCTATGTGAAATATAAAGGTCAGGTATCAGAAGGCCTTTCTTCCAGACATAGGCTGTCCAGAGATGCTGTGGATGCCCCATCCATGGAGACATTCATGGTCAGGTTGGATGGGGCTCTGAGCACCCTGATGTAACTGTAGTTGTCCTTAGTCAGTGCAGAGGAGTTGGATTAGATGACCTTTAAGAGTCTATTCCCACTCAAGTGATTCTATGACTCCTTGGGTCCCATCCCACTTACATAGGGGACAGTTCCATGAAGTTTGAATTCCACATCACTTAAGATGGACATTCTTGGAACCGACGTGAAAAGCAGCATCATGGCTGTGATCTGCCCTCTGCCATGCTGGTACATGCCATCACCCCGTGATGGGACTACTCTGAGCCCCAGCTGGGTACTTTCCCATTACGTGTAGTGCTTTCACTAAACAAAGTGCTGGTGCTGACGTTGAGACCTGCAGCTTCCAGAGATGGGGTCACACTACAACTGGGAGGGCTTCGGCAATGTTGTATTTCAGCAGGGCTGCCGCAGCAGAGGTCCTGAAATACCAGTTTTAATTAAAAGCTTTATTTTCTATTATGCTGCACAGCTCATACGTGCTGACTGCTGCTTTTCAGCTCACAGGGGCTAAATCCACACTTTAAAAATATGTCATGTGTCAGTCAGATAGCTCATAGGGGTTATGGTACTCACAAATCAGAGCTTGGTTAAGCCAGAGTAGTATACAGAGAACAACTGGAAGAGTGACAGTGGGATAGTGAAAGGTGAATTGGATGGGAAAAAAAAGAGAAAAGGAGATCTTGGAGGCATATGGGGAAAGGAAAGCAAAAAAACAAAATTATGCCCATGCCTCCTGTGTCCTGTGAACATGGGGCCATGTAGAAAAGCCCAAGGAGGAGAAAGAAAGAACTGTTATGTTTTCTATGGAAGGGGAAAGCAGACATATAAAAAGTTTATAGACTTACCTGAAAGCTCTCAGAAACTATTGACTGTTTTCCAGCCCAGACCTCCTCCCAGCTTTTCTGACCAGAAGTTCCCAGCTTCTCCTAAATGTTTTGCAGTCTCTGCTCTCCACCTGGAGCCCAGCTGTGTAAAACCACTCTTTCCAGCACAAGACTGGCCCTGTGCACACCCGTGGTGCTTCCTGCCCTTTTTCTCTCCAAAACTGTGACCCCCCCAGGGTTACAGAGGTGCCTCCAAGGGTCCCTCACAGTCATGGTGGCTTTCAAGCGACGCATTCCCTCACCACCCCAGGGACACTCATTGGCCCCAGAAGGTTGGAATGTGCATAGGATGGAGTCAGTGATGGCAGACTGGGAGAGCTTGGATAAACTGTGAGTTCCCTGCAAGAGAGTGGCTGTGACCCAGAGAAGGTGTAGCACGGAAGAAGAGGCTGCCAGCTCTGGTTGCCAGCTCATCCTCCTGCTGTTTGGGAAGAAAGGTAGGGCCATGTCGCCTTATCTCCCATCACCTGTAGATGGCTCTTTCATACTCCGGTAAGGCTGGATCAAAGCTGCCTCAGTCCAGAACTCCTAAAAACCTGACAGTGATACCACTACTATAGCCTCCAAGAAGGAGGAAAGGGGAGAAAAATGACCTCCCTGTAACCTCCAAAAATATGTTTGGCTCACATGGAAGCAGTAGGAAAGCTTAAGTCCTGTGCCTGCCCTTTCCTCTGACTTCCCACGCCTAAAGTGAGCTGTTGCCCTGCTTGCCATGACGACGTCATGGAAGTAGAGCTGTTGGAAGTGACCTCACGCTCTTGCCCTCCTGCCTGACAGGGGTATGGGGCTGGCAGGACACATGACAGCAGGACCTGTGTAACACAAGATGGGAGCTATTCACCACGACTATATTAAGAACATTTCACAGGCTCTGGCCTCTTGGTTTAGTTTTGCTCACTGGGATCCGATGTCAGTGCTCTCTCAAACAGCAGTGGAAATTTGTAGGCTCCCTGTGAGACCCAGTACCCACAGGAGTGCCAGAGAGAGCTAAACACAGCACTGCTAATTTTGGAGAGGTTAGGTGATCAGATAAGGAGACATGGGGCAGGGGGAGAAGGAGGCAGTCAACAGAGATAATAATGTTAGGCAGGGATTAGGTGGGAAACAGTTGTTGAAGGATCTCGCTAGTGGGCTCCAAAAAGAGCAGAGCTATTCAGCAGCCTTAGCTGGCTGCAGAAACCTGCATCTCCTGCAGTGTTCCAACATTGCTTGTAAGCCAGCTCCCAGTGCACGCAGAGTACACTCACCTTTGCTGTCGGATAACCGTGCAGGATCCTGCGTGGATGACCCCTCCATGCCGTGGACTAAATGATCTTTGCCACTGAGAGCGAAGTTCACTTTGCAAGTGACTAGGAAATATTTTAGGATGTTTGCACTCAACACCTACTTGTAACAGTGCTTCTGCTGGAATTTGTATGACAGCCCACAACACTGGTGCACTGCTCCTCAGCTGAGGAAGGGCAAAGTCATCTGTTTTAGCTTAACCTACTGTTCAGACTGGCTTGCACTACACGGACTAATGTTGCACGGAAACAGATGAAGGAAAGCTCACATTGTCCACCTCACTTAGGCAGCGAGCTCTTGAGGCTCAGACACATGGTCTGCCATTGGAGACTTCTGTGTATTAGCCGGGCATAGGAGTGGTTCCTGTGTGCAAGCATCTCACCACTGTAGGCTGAGGGTGCAGGTCGCACCTCCACCACACAATGCATCAAACTGCTCAGCTGCTGATGGTAGTGACATCTCTGACAGTATCTCCTGGGAGAGAGGTTTGTAAGCTGCCTGGCTTCTGCCTGGCTCAAATGCCAATTGATCTCATGCTCCGGTTAGGTTAGGAGGCAGCTTTCTTTGAACGAAAGGGGATAGGAGGGGAGAGGGAAACCCTCCTGAGGAGCTCCCACTCTACACAATTCCCAAATGGCCTCCCACTTTCACATGATTTGGGCATTCTGCATGAGGACAAAAGTGAGCTGAGAGAGCTCTGCTGCAGTGTCAGTCGCATGCTTCAGAGACAAAAATAGGTATTGGCTCCATTTCCACGTTCCCTTATCACTAAACCCGTGGCTTCAGCTTGCTGTTGGCCTCCAAACAGCTTGCTGTGCCAAGACTCTGAACTTAAGAAAGAAATAATGTTTAAGAGCTGGGCAGTGATGTTAGTGTGTCTCACTGAGCCATCACAGATGGGATAAAACCTCCTGAGACCTTCCCAGGAGGGCTTGGTGCCTACTAACAAAAAACATGCAATTTCTATTTTGTTGATAGGTGATTATTGTGCAATTGGAGCTGGGATTCATGGAGCTGCAATTAATGGAGTTGGGAGTCATCTCATTTTGCAGATAACAGATAACTGATGAATGAATGGTAAAGAAGTAAAGAGAAGAGCCGTCTGTCCGAGCACACAATCCCAATGCTAATCACGTCATTGTAGGGCGCTGTTAGATTCTCTACCCAAACCCAAAAATCTTCAGAGAGGAACATTACTTTTGGGTGGAATGGAACAGGAAAGACCATGAAGGGAAAACATATATTCAGATTCATAGGAAGCTATGAGTTGCACAGCAAAGTTCCATTTTGGTACTTTCTCTAAATCTACTCAGCAACAACTGGAGAAAGTTTGGGATGTTCAATAGCAGAGTGCTGTCTTTTGTGCAGCTGAGAAGGCAAAGCTCCAACAATCTAATCCTGCAGTCGGCTGACACTTCCCATGTAGTAATTGTCATCCAGAACAGAATGTCATTTTGACTCCTCGTCCTTAAACTCTGACTCATGTAGTGGTCATTGCCACCTCGCTTTGCTCATCAGAGCTGCAGAAGCAAACATTAGAAGCATAAGACCTTTAAAGATGCAGCCCCTAATTTAGAATGAGGACATACGTTTCTCTGTGATGCAGAACTGGATGTTTCCTGTATGACTCCTTTACATAAAGGTCCAGTAACAGAGAGCTCAAATCTAGCCGAGCCTTTCAAGTTGATCCTGCCAATGCTCTTTTCCCTGGTTGGAGAAAGGATTGGGGCTGGGGTTAGGAAGCCTTTCAGTGGTAGCTTTACTGAGGTCATTCGTTCATGCAAAATTAATTAAAAAATCAGTTTTTCTAGCTCCAAGAAGGACACAGTGTGAGCTTAGTGCCTTCAGAGAGACAGATATACTCCAAGAGTGACTTAGGCTGAATCTTTTTATTCACACAGTCACTTCTTTCAAAGAGTCTCCCGTTGAAAGGGAGAATATTGCCATCCTTTATTATCAGGTACTCAAATTTTGCAGCCTGGGATTTAAGACATTCTCAAAGGCTATGATACCTGCTTCTGATCTCATGTTCCCACAGGTCCTTTCCCTTAAGCTAGACCTCTGTGCTTCCTGTGGTTTGTTTTTAAATATGCCACATGATAACACTTTCCATTTCTCTGCTACATACAGACACGATAATTTCATCCCAAATCTTCCCACGTGCTTGGCCACAATGGTGAACTGCAGGTGAAGAACAGCACCAAACAGATGAGTTTGTAGCAGCAGTTCTGGCTGGATGATGTTTGCTGCAGGAGAGCAGACGTGGGGGTGGGCATTTTGGCAGTGCTGCATCGCTGTGCTCAGGGCTATGCAAATGCTCACATACCTACCTGCCTTTTGCTGGCACAAATGTGTTTTTGGTGTGCAGGAAGGCCTGTGTGTAGAAGTTTGTACATGTGGCAGCAGAACAGCATGTGTGCTTGTCTCAGCTAATGACAAAGAATCGACTTTGATTAAAGCTCTTCTTAACATTTGAGAGCACATTTTCCCGGGTCCATTAAACTGTGGTCAAACATCATCCACATGCTTTGCAATGGTCTCATTAGAAACAAGTCAGAAATGATGAAAGTTTTGAGCTAGAGTGAGGGTGTGTCAGGCCTTTGGATCTGGGTGTGTAAACAAGGGCACAACAGATTTTGTGAGTATAAACTCTGCAGACCTATAAGACTAAACTCCTGTGACATATTTATGTTTCCTCATACACAAATCACATTGACTCTCACACTCCCCTATCACGCGGAGTCACCAGACTTCAAACGGAGTGGAGGAGGCAGCTGGATTCGCTAAACAACATCTTGGGCACTGTGAACGTGTGCCAGATAATAAGGAGAGAATCGCAATTAAAATGTCAAACTGTATCACATTTCCATAACAAAGTCAGAGAGGATTTCCCTCTCTGTGCCTTTCCTTTCTGTTTAACTTGTTTAGGGAGCTGAGGCTGCTCTTTCCATGCTGTGGTTTCCAACCCCTGCAAGACAGACGAAATATATTGTTCTTGCAATATTTGCTTCCTTCATGAGATAATTTGTTGAATACTTGAGCAAAACTGTGTAACAGAAGGAGCCAAAGCTGTCTCTGAAGAAACTATTTAAATCTTCCTGTTCAGTGCGAAGAAGCCTGCTTACAGAGCTCTGCTCTTTGCTCTGTGTGAATAATACCCCCACTTCATTCTCCTCTGGATCCTAGTATGCTTTCCAACTATGCTGCACGCTAACAAGGTAGATAATGTTGATTTGTGCATGCAGCAGCTAAGGAAAATGTTAATGTCAAGTCCAGGGTTAAATAGACACACACCTGATGTTACTGCAAAGCTGCCTTCAACCTTAACACACTGACTCTGGGCAAAAGGCTTGTCCAAAGACTTGGATAAAAAATGGAAACCACGGGAAACCTCAGGTGTTTGGTAATAATAAGAGCCTCCCTGGACCTAAAAATAAATGTCTCTATGAATTGCCTCTCTCCTGCCTGCCTGGAAATCATGCAGTGACTTGTCAGAGAGGGAAGATCTAGACCCTAAAACAGAAAGAAACATTTCGACACAGACCAAATACCTACTTGGGGTAAAAATGCTTCCCAGACAAATTTTACTGCAAGTACTTGATTGAGTGACCATTGATGTCACGTAGGCTATTAGTGCTATGAGCTTTATCAAATGTTGTTTAGTGCTTGCTATAACATTTGACATGCAACTAGGAACCAAGATGGAGGCTAGTTCCCTTAGCAGCTGGCTCTTATCCCCTTGAAGAATATCTAGCTCTGAGCCAGTTCTTCCCAACCTCCATAAACACATCCCTTGCTTTTATATACTGTAATAAAGGAGACCTTGCTCTGTTTTGCCTGGCTGTGGCTGCCCTGGCCTTGCACAGGCATATCCAGCAGCTGGATGTGAGTTTGAACTCTGGGATTCCTGTGGCAGCACCATCTGTGAAGGAAAGGGTGTGGAAACAGATGCTACCGGATAAGGTCTGGAGCCACCAGAGCTGCCTCCCAGCTAGGAAGCCCCAGACAGCAGCTCGTGTTCCCAGCCATCATGAAGGATTGCTGAGCAGAGTGCAGTTGGAAACGAATTAGTGCAGTCTGCCTTCCTTGTGGAACAAAACTGGGAATACATGATCTAGTGGACAATATTGATGGCAGCTGGATGGTGGACTAGATGATCTTAGAGGTCTTTTCAAACATAATGATTCCATGACTCCCATGGGAATCTACCCTTGGTAGAGGGCTGCAGAGGCCCTCCAGAGGAATGGCACCTGCACACAGCACCTCCTCTTTCTGGACTCTCTAAAAACCTTCCCCCACCTGCCACTGGAGGAACAAAGCACCACAGAAGGAGAATGACCTGTTAAAGAAGAGGAACACAGTCTCTGCATGCTGTTCAGATGGATATATTGTTGTGGAGAGACTTTTGTGGCATCTTGTGAGACCAGCTGCCCAGCCAAAAAGGAGAGGAAGTGGTTAAAATGGAGGTGGGCTCTTCTGTTCTGCTTTCAGTCTAGTGCTGCAATGATCTTAGTCTAGAGATCAATAGGCTCTGTGTAAAATAAACTTTAACAGGCATCTCTGCTTCATTCTTACCACCACTTTCTCTGTTTTGCTCCTCATCTTCCCTGAAAACATCAACTCTCTATCTTGCCGTATCTACTCCATCTTTTCACTTCTTTCTAAAGCAAATCAGATTCTCCCTCATCTTATGGAGTTTCTCCATTGAGTTCAGGCATCAGTTTATAGAAACTTTTCTTGCAAGGGCCACTTCTGTATAGAATCATAGAATAACTGAAGTTGGAAAGACCACTAAGATCATCTGGTCCAACCACCAATTCATCCCTGCCATGCTCATTAACTGTGTCCCTCAGTGCCACATCCACATATTTCTTGAACACCTCCAGGGATGGTGACTCCACCATCTCCCTGGGCAACCTATTCCAATGTCTCACCACTCCTAAGCAGAAAATTTTCCTAATACCTAACCTGAACCTCCTCTGGCACAATTTAAAGCCGTTATGTAAGGAACAAACTTGATGTGTCTACTGACAGGACCCACAATCATCAGTAAACAGCTGGTGACTGCAGTTTGCATTTCTACCCGCTGCTTCCTCCAGCCCATTAGCTTCAGAGGAGATTTGTAGATGATGGGGTGACAAAACCTCTGTTCCTGGATGATGCACGTTCCCACACTCATGTTTGACCTATCAGTGATAACTACAGTGATAATTAGCGATAACCACCTCTGGAGTTTCTCAGCAGTCAGCTGTCTCAGCACGACAGAATATGCTCCTTCAGCATGACCCAAAGCTCATGCCAGAGTTTCTTCTTTGCCTTTCTTCTTTGCCCATCTGTGAGACTTCTGACTGCACCTTCCTCCTTTCAAAGCTGGGTCACACCAAAGCCACCTGCTCAGCTTTTGCTAAGCTTTCGCCTGTTGCTGCATCTTCCCATAGCACTCCCAGACAGGACATTTGTTCTGTTGGGGTCCTGCAGTATTTTATGAGTCATTTCCATTTTCCTGCATAACTGACACTGGGTTGTGACTGGTTTGGATCCATAA